ATTGTGCTTTGCATGAGTATCCTTTATGTATTGTTGACCATGCTGGCTTTCGAAGGTTTGTGAGTGCACTACAACCATTATTCAAGATGATGACTAGAAACACTATTAGGTAATATTTGGCACTACCTAGTTGTCATTGTTGTGTGTGTTTGCACTAAAGTTTTATTCTAAATTTTTTACCTTTTCTTACTGTAATTTTTAGGAAGAATATTTTGAATACATATGTGGAAGAAAAGAAAAAGGCACTATCCTACATGGCAGGAACTAAGTCAAGAGTCGCTATTACTACTGACTTGTGGACCTCGGATAACCAAAGAAGAGGGTACATGGCTATTACAGCTCATTTCATTGATGATTCATGGGCACTTAGAGACATTATCATGAGGTATTTCATCAAAAATTGATTTTATTTCTTGCTGCCATCATATTCAGTTTATTGCCTTGATAAAATATTGTTGTTGTCATGTATTTCCAGGTTTATCTATGTCCTAGCTCCACACACAGCTGAAGTTATCAGTGAAGTGCTCTATAAAGCATTGGTGGAGTGGAACTTAGATGAAAAGATCTCAACTTTGACTCTTGATAACTGTAGCACTAATGATAAGGTAATCCCTGAGCTTGTCAAGAAGATAGGCAAATCAAAGCTAATGTTGGATGGAAAACTGTTGCATATGCGTTGTGCTGCCCATATTCTAAAGAAAGAATTCCTTATTTGACACCAGAGAAATGACCCGTTCCTTTTTTGGCCCTCAAAAAATTTTCGTTCCCTATTTGACACCGAGTTCAACTTTCATTCCTTATACGACACTCCGTTGGATTTTCCGTTAACTGCCATGCGGCTGCCAAGGAGAGGAGGGAGAAGGGTGGTGGGGCCCACAGGGGCAAAATCGTCTTTTCGCATGGCAGTTAACGGTCCACGGACGAAAAATCCAACGGAGTGTCATATAAGGAATGAAAGTTGAACTCGGTGTCAAATAGGGAACGGAAATTTTTTGAGGGCCAAGAAAGGAATGAGTCATTTCTCTGGTGTCAAATAAGGATTTCTCTCTATTCTAAACTTGATTATGAGGGATGGTTTAGAGGTGATAAAGGATTCAATTGCAAAAATTCATGAGAGTGTTGCCTATTGGACAGCCACACTTAAAAGAATAGAGAAATTTGAAGAAATTGCTAAACATGTCAAAGTAAAATTGGAACACAAGTTAGGCCTTAATTGCAAGACTAGGTGGAACTCTACCTTAAAGATGCTTAGCATGGCAATGCCTTACAAAGTTGTTTCTAGTCGTGCATCAATTGTTGACAAGTTGTATGATTGTGCACCGAGTGAGGAAGAATGGGATTTTTGTAGAGAGGTAGTTGGTAGACTCAAGTTGTTTAATGATATTACAAAGAGTATTTTTCCGGGACAAATTATGTGATGACCAATATTCATCTTCTTAAAATCTGTGAGGCTAAAGAGCAAATCGAGAAAATGGAGTTTTTGTGTCAATCCCATTATAGAGAAAATGTCGTTTAAAATGAATGAGAAGTTTAATAAGTATTGAAAGGAGATTCAAGGACCAATGGGATTGGCCACCATTTTAGATCCCCGGTTTAAGACCGACTTCCTCCTTGTTCATTGAAACCCTCACCGGTCACTCACATGAAGAGTGTACAGAGAGAGTTACTTGAGATTAGAAACTGCATAGATGATTTGATGATAAGGAGTATGAAGTGGAAGAGGATGAAGATAATACTGAATCCTCAGCTCCTCCACTTTCCAGTTCGGGTGTATTGTCTATAATCAGTGCACGTGTTGCTAGTAGAAGGCCAACAACATTTAGATTCAAATCAGAGCTAGAAAGGTACTTGGAAGATGAGTTGGTTCCAATTGAGACGTAAAACTTCAAGATTCTTGATTGGTGGAAGGTAGTCGGGACACGTTATCCCATATTGAGGAAGGTAGCACGAGATATATTTGCCATCCCAGTTAAATGCACAGTTGCATCTCGAATCAGATTTAGCACTAGTGGACGTGTTCTTAGTGAGCACCGCAAAGAGGCTTAATTCGGATATTCTAGAGGCTTTAATGTGTTCACAGAATCGGGTCAAAACAAATACCAAGGTACTTGTGCTGTCCCATTTGTGGTATACTCCATACATTCTACAAGTGTCATGGTTCTAAATTAATTCTTCTAATGCTTTTCTCAGAGGTGAAGACTATGTAGAACTGCTAGCTTTTGGAGTCGTCTTCAAGAGATCCAAGATGTGATTGAGGTAAAGTGTAAAACTAAAATTGATAAATACTTTAGTCTCTTTGTTGACTCATACTTGACTAATTGTATTTATTTTGCCGGTTGTTGGATATAGGGACCGGCACTTGTTTGAACTTTGAAGACAAGAGTTGGGTCAATTGGTCATTTCTTTGGGTTGTTGTATCACTCCTTAGTGTTTGCTTCCAAGATTGTTATGAACTTGTCATTTTGTGTTGTAATGCCTCTTTGTGATGAGCCCATGAACTTGTAAACTTATGGTGCTACTTTTGTGCTGTTGTGCAGCCGGTTGGTGATGAACTTGTCATTTTGTGTTGTAATGCTGGATTCCTAGTTGGTGATGCACTGTTGTATTGCCGAAGCACCAAGTTCTTAATTGCCCCTTAGACAGATTGCTGCTACTAAATTGATTCTTCTGTTTTCACTGTAGTGACCGTGATTGAGCAATTGGTTGTGCAGATGGTGACTGCTGTGGTGACAAGGGATTCAGACAGCAGTTGAGATGATATTGGCAAATGATGGTGACAAGGGAAACCACCTGAGGGAAGCACCTGAAGTTCCACTAAAGGTACGCTGTATGCCTTTTTCATGTTTACAAATTGACGCGAGTAAATGCAAGCTTTAGAAGCTAAGGCCATGTTTAGATTGCAAAAAATTGCAACCTGATGAATAGTAGCGTTTTCGTCTTATTTGGTAAATATTGTCCAATCGTGGACCAACTAAGCTCAAAAGATTCATCTCGTGATTTCCAACTAAACTGTGCAATTAGTTATTTTTTTTACCTACATTTAATGCTCCATGCAAGCGGCTAAAAATTGATGTGATGGAGAGAGAGTGAAAAAACTTGGAATTTTGATGTAAACTAAACAAGGCCTAAGCAAGTAAATGGAAATATGGAAGCAATTGCAGTTTTGCATGTTCCGTACATATGTGTTAACTTGTTTTCCCTTCTCGACGATGTCCTGTACATGTATTAACTCGTTTTTCCTTCTCAACCCACTGTCAGGTAAGTTCTGAGAAAGGGCATATAGAAGCAGTTGATAGTAAAGGTGTTTAACGCGGAAGCATCATCGAGCTTGGACATTGTGTGAGGTCGTGAAGCTGGTTGATGGTGTGGCGCGGTTTGGAGCTGGCAAGTGGTCTGAGATTAGAAAACTGTCCTTTGCCTCATATTCTTACCGCACTTCAGTGGATCTCAAGGTGTGTTTGCTTGTACAGCTGAAACTTACTGCGATTTCATTTTCCAATCATACATTGAAACCTGCTGTTTATTCAGGACAAATGGCGTAACCTGATCAGAGCAACCAAATCACAGCTTCCGGCACAAAAAGACGTAATCACTTGTCCCTCTTCAAGGCACATGAGCACCGTTATTTATTTTGTTATTTATCTATTCCTATCGTTTATTTATCCTGCATTTATTTGCTTCCTGATGTTTGATTGTTCCTTCAACTCCTCTTAGCAGGGTGCCTGTCTGCGGAAGATTAACCCTTCTATCATACCAATACCACCATCCATTTTGTTGCGAGTGAAGGAGCTAAACGAGCTGCAGTTGCAAGGGGGTGGCTTCACAGCCCCAGTCAAGTTCTCTGGGCAGGACAGCAAGGTTCTACAGGGAAAAGGGTCAGGTTTCTTGTGATCCGTGTCATGCTGATATAGTGGGTAAAGGAAAGCACTAATTAGTTAGGTGTACGCTTCTGGATGTGGCATGTATTATATGAGTAAATATTATACAAAGTTGATGTATTGAACTACCGTGTGCATTGAGTACTCAACACATGTACATTGAACTACCAGGTCTTTTCTATGTGCAGTTGATGGTTTGATGCGGGGATGGGGATCCCCGCGGGGATTAAATCCCCGAGCGGGGACAGGGATGGGGAAGAAGTGCTTCCCGTGAGCCTTCACGGGGACGGGGACGGGGACGGGGACGGGGAAAAATTTTCCCCGCGGGGACGGGGATGGGGCAGTAACCCCCGACGGAAAATTCCCCGTTGACATTTCACGCCACTACCACCACCGAGGAAGTGGCCCCATAACGTTCGTCCCCTCGTCACCGTCGGCGCCCATCGAGGCATCGACTGCCGGCGCTTCTCCCTCGACTTCCTCCCGTTAGGCGCCTCGAGCTGGGACGTGGTCGACTGCCATGGCGGTCTCGTCCTTCTCCTGGAGCGTGGCTGCCCGCTGCCAAAGCTGCTCGTCTGCAACCCGCCATATCGTTTTTATTTATTTATAAATCTTATAATTTCTTAGTCATGTCGGTTCTCTTAGGAGCTACTATTATAAGATGATAGATACTCACTCTGATCTTAAACATAGGTGTTACCTATGTATTTATGTACTTCCTCTGTTCCAAATTATAAGTCGTTTTGACTTTTTTTATTCGTTCATTTTACTATGTATCTAGACATATTATTATATCTAGATAAAAAAAGTTAAAGCGACTTATAATTTGGAACGGAGGTAGTAAAAATTAACCTTTTTAGTTTATTCCCTAAATAGCTAACATATATAGATGGGCAAAACAACAGATAGCATTTTCTAACTGATGATACATTTTATAAGGATATCCATGTTCTAAATTCTAATAGAATTAGATCTATTATTGGCGGACAAAGGTAATAAATGGTTTGGGAATAAAAAGTAGTATTGTCTCCTACACATGCATGCACAAATGCATTTTGGCTGGTTCAAGTAAATTTAACCCTAGGAGTTCCGGCAATGCCATAGCTAGTAGCCTAGTAGCTACTATGCGAGCATTATCTTGAATTCCGGCAGTGTGTAGGTTGATGTTGCCCTGGTCCCCCGGTACAAATGGTATGTTGATTCCGGGATGAACTGCACCTCCATAGTGTCCACATCGACGGTGAATAGCCATTTCCTCTTACTGAAGTCCAGCACCGACAGGACGGCAAACCCCACACCATCGGCGATCACCTTCACGGCCCAGTGGAAGGGCCTCTCAGCCAGGTAGCTCGGCAGCCCGCGGGCGACCTCCGACAACCGGGGGATGCTGTGCTCCAGCACCCACTCGGCGGTGCCATGGACCCAGCGAAACACCTCGATCTCCTCACCGTTGGCGTGGACGATCCGCGCCATGGGCGGCGAGGACGAGTCGGGGCAGACGCCATGGACGATGCGAAAGCTCGCGTGGTAATCTTTCTTGGACGGATCAACTCGACTGGGCAGATCAACTTGGGAGAAATTCAAGGTGGCCTTGTCAAGAACTATCATGCTGCCAGTCGTCAACCCCAAGTAGAGGCATCCGTCGACCCGGCCAGCGACCTGCCCCCGGCAGTCCGCGTCTAGATCGTTCGCCGATGCACATACGAAGCGCACGCCGTGGCCGCCGCTGGACGTGGCGAACACGCAGGCCCCGGGACCTGAGTTCTTCAATCTGTAGACCACCGTGAAATTCAACATGGAGATGTTGCCGCCGTCGTCGTTGTCGAGGAGAAACGCGTCGGCGACGGCGCATCCGGCGTGCTCTGTCGGCGGCTTGTATCTCATCCCTCGGTGACGACGTGTCAGCGGGTTGCAGACGAGCAGCTTCGGCAGCGGGCAGCCACGCTCCAGGAGAAGGACGAGACCGCCATGGCAGTCGATCACGTCCCAGCTCGAGGCGCCTAACGGGAGGAAGTCGAGGGAGAAGCGCCGGCAGTCGATGGGCGCCGGCAGTGACGAGGGGACGAACATTATGGGGCTACTTCCTCGGTGGTGGTAGTGGCCGACGACGAAGGGCGGGTGCAGCGAGCGGGCCAGACGGAGGACGGCACCGCCGTCCGCCGCGACGATGCCGCGCCATCGTCTGCATGTGTAGGCTGCGCGGACGAGGCATAGCGGGGACTGGAGAAGGAGGAGGATCAGCCTGAGCATGTCGTCAGGGACGTCGTGGACACTCGTGGCCGGCGTCTCCGTGCCTCCGGCCTTCTTGCACTTGCGCCGCTGCTGCCGCCGTTCCATGGGCTGAATGAAATGACGCGACAATGTTACGGAATATGTCAGTGTAAATCCACCACGTGCACAAATGATGAATGAAGCAACAACAAAGCAGCAAATTTATAGAGGCAAATGGTAGTACATAATAACATTTCAGGAGAGTGCTGATTACTGAATCTAATGTCCTAGTATAATGTCCAAAAGCGTGTAGTGGCCAGCAAGTTCCAATGGCAACCAATAGCACCGGTCAATCAAACTTTAAGCTAACCAGCTAGGCATTGAATTAACAATTTATACTGAGCATACATAACATCACTCAGGAAGCCACATTATACAATAAGAACGCATATATCATCATAATTTTCAGTGTTAATAAAGCATGCGCTGAACACTAGTACTAAACAAAGACAGATACATACTGTTCTATTAAATGAAAAACAATAAAGGCACGAACAAGTCTCAAGAAAATAGCATATAAGGCCACAAAATAGTAGAGAAGAAGATGATCTTACAGTTACAGCACAAATGGCTCAGAATGTCACTGAAAAAAATTCAAACCAGAATGACATGACATCATACATAAACGATTCTACCCATGGGGTATAGAGCTGGGGCAATATGGAAGAATAGAAACAAGACTTTTCGAGAAAAAGTTCATTAAAAATCCTTTAGAGATTATTTTCTACGCTTGTGCTTTTATGCAATATTGGATAGGTCTGTATGCATAGATGGATCAGGAACAGCTAGCTGGTCGAAGGGGTCAATACTATGCTTCAAGTGGCAAAGGAGATTCTGGCATCATCTCAGAAGTTGTAAGGCGACAACCGAAAGATGGTGACAAACCGGAAGATGAAGACAACTCTTCATGAAGTGTCTCCCTTCGCTCGTCGCCTGATGTGTGTGATTATGGCTATTATGGCTGTTGTAGTCGTCTTGTTGCAAACTTTTTATGTAAATTAGGCCTTAGTCTGTTCTTTAGTTCGGGTCACTTCACTGCTTGGTAATCCCTGGATTACCTGGAATGGTTGTAACTGTTTCAACTCTACTTCTACTTAATGAACACGTGTCACAAGGACACGTTCGCGAAAAAAAAAAACTCTTCCTGAAGTGTTGGAGTAATGCTGCTATGAGCTGGTGGCGTAGTCAGTTTAGTAGTGCCAGACTTTGCATGGTTTCTTCAATGTAGTTTCTTAGCTGCTGGGAAGTTGGTGTTGGTTGTTTTGGTTCTGAACAGGTCAGGTTTGGTTGTTCTGCTGGTCTGCTAGGTTGGTTCTGAGACAGAACTATAGCTCCTGTTGGTTAGTATCATAACCGCAGGTTACTTTCTGAATCTGTCTAATCTGTGTAATTTTCTGGATACGCTTGTATTTCCGTTAATACTATAATGAAAATGGGGGTTCCTCGTGTGGAAAAAACATATAAGCGATTCAACTTGCCTATATTGTTACCTGAACACATTAACTTGGAGCTTCGGTTCACGTAAGTTCATCAGTTCAATTCAGTCTGAAACAAATTCAGATTACTGCGCTGGGATGAGAAACGGACAGAACTAACATGAATTTTGGGCAAACCATCTAGTCTATCAACTGACCAACTTGAAAGGAATGATTAAATCAACCTTGGCATAGATGAACCACGAAGCAAGTCACACATGCCCGCCCATACTAGATTGGTGCTGAAATAAATAAATAAATAAAGGCTCCTACTTGTTTGAGAGATGATGGTAGAACTAGCATGAATCGAGTCTATCAACTGACCAACTTGAAAGGAATGAATCAAATCAACCTTGGCGTAGATGAACCACGAAGCAAGTCACACAAGCCCGCCCATACTAGATTGATGCTGAAATAAATAAATAAAGGCGCCTACTTGTTTGAGAGATGATGGTAGAACTAGCATGAATCTAACCGGGGGAAAGAGAATTAGCTATCTAGATTTCGCCTAATAAATGAACAAATAAAATGATGAACGGATCAATATATCAACTATGTTCGTTCAGATCGAAACACAGGTGAAATCACGAAGGAAACGCCAAACAAAAAAGTGCAGCAGCTTCGTTTGATTCCTCCAGCTAGCTCCCTCATCAGGGATCGATGGATAAACAACCACGGCCACGGGATGTTTCTACAGCTGAGATGAGAGGAGCACCCAACTCTCACTATGATTTATGCCATATTAATCATTGCGGAGAGGTTATAGGGAAACGAATTGAACACACGTACGTACCGATCGGTGAATGAAGTCGTGCTCGCGCCTCGATCGACGCAGGAGATGTTCTGGATCTGGCGGCGGGCGGCTGCCCCCGACGGCGAGCAGAGGTGACGGAGGCCTCAGGCAGTCAGGCTCAGGCCTCGGTGGATCACTCGATCAGGGAGGGAGGGGTCCAGGGGGCAATCCGATCTTCTTGGCGAGAAAAAGTGGACAAAAAAAATGGAAACGGCGGCGGCTGCAGGGTGCAGCTCCCCCTCCCCGCGGCGCTATCTGCAACTGCAACCGAATCGCAGCTCGATCCCAACAGGAGGGCCGTGGACTGCCAAAGCTGCATTTTTTTTTCTTTTTTTCTTTTTTGATGATGGGCCGGTCGGGGTACTCGGTCGATCAGGCGACAGGGAGTGCACCACGAGACAGGGGATCAGGGAGAAGGTCGCGTCGCGTCGCGTACATGAAAGCATATTACAAAACCATTTTCAGCAACCGTCAAAACTCAAAAATGATGTTTAGCCGCGGCGTCATGACTGTTGTCTTTACTTTTCTCAAAAATTTTAAGTAAAACAATCTGTAGAGGCAATTAACATGACCCGGCTCTAAAACAATATTTTCAGAAATTGAAAATTAATTTAAAAAAAGTGAGATTGTGGATCGGCTTACCAAATCCATACTTCTTATATAAGAAACTGGAACACAATCGACTCCCTCTGTCTAGAACAGATTAAAGGCTCATATCTGTTGGATCTCGACAAGTGGAGACACTATAAATAAAAACAAAGTAAAGACGGTGACGAAGTCTCGAAGAGTGGTTTGAAGTGGCAAGAGGGCTTGCATAAACCCTCATTGTTTTTTGCTACCTTGAGAAACTAATTCCACCCTCGACAGGATTTTATTAGAGAGACTACTAAGACGTGATCCGCTATTTTAAGTTGTACGGCTCAAGAAAATTGCATGCAATCAAGATGGAGTGATAGATAAGTGGGGAGGAGCGGATGAGGTTGTTGATGCTTGTGTTCAGGATGATATAGATGAGTTGATTAGGTTGTTGTATCTAGTGTGAGTGGGAGACGTGTACTAGCTAGTGATTATTGGGCTTTCTGGACCTCGCCACTCGGCACCCCAACTAGGCCGGCCCAGTGTACCATACCCCGCTTTACCTCTTCCCCACCTTCGCCAAACATCGTCTTCCCCAAAGCTCCAAGACGCAATGGCCGCCTGCGCCTACGTATGCTCCAATACTAGTGTCGCATCCGCGATCTCGAAACAGAAATATGGAGAAGTTATTCGCCGTCAGCGTCCTACCTGGCAGTATGGCTGCACTATCTCGCCCTATTGGTAAGTATTATAGCTATCCCTCTATCATCCTCTCTCATCCACTTGCCACATCACCGTCTCCGCCACCATTGCCATCATCAGTATGGCAGTTAGGCGAATTGAAGCGGGAAGCACAGGCCGCGAGCCGGTGACAAAAGCACCGTCACAAATCACGCCGCCGTGGAGGCCGTCATCAGTTCCTCGCGCCGAGGCGGCAGAGAGCAGACGGCAAGTCCGAGTGCCACGGCTCGTTGGACGAATTTGCCCCCGCCTCATATCCATCCGCCTCTCTTCTCCCCAGTCCGGCAGTCCCCACCCCAGTCGGCCCACCGTCCCCGCCGCATCCACCCTCGCCGCGAGACGCCGCAACCAGCCCAGCGCGCGGACTCGGACGGGGCCCGGGCGGGCTCCAAGCTCGTGCTCGTCTCGTCTCGTCTCCATGCCGCACGAGCGCTCCGGACCCGATCCTGTGAGTCATCCTCTCCCCGTCCCTCCCTCTCCGATCCGGTGAGCGCTTTCTCCCCGTCCCTCTCTCTCCCTCTCCCGCACGCACGAGCCAAGGTTTGCATGCCGCGTCTCTTCCACGTCTAGATCGATAGCCTGCTGGCCTGATTCCAGGCGTCGAGCCCCCACCGATGGAGCTTCCCCGTCGAATCGGCCCATGCACCGCTGGATCGGTCACCTAGCTGCGTCAATGGAGCTCATCCTTTGGAATCAACATCTTGCCCTCTATACAATCCTACTTCCCGCGGGGTGGATCGAGTTTTTCTTTTTCTTTTTTAACTGTCACCGGGGATTTAAACCCCCACCTGAATTTTATTCATTGTAGTATTGATGGTTCCTTTACATATGAACTGCTCATAAACATGGAGCAGAGGGGGAGGAGTCGATGCACACTTGGGTGCTAAATTAAGAAGGACATTACACCATTGGTCAACTACATGCCTCGAGGCTACTGGCATTCTCAACCGCCAAAGTTGAGCCTCGTTTCTGCATGCAGTGGCGAATTGCCTTAATGATTGGGCTTCATTTCTGAAAATGATTTCATTTCCACGCTTCCACAGCTGCCAACAACACAGGGCCAAAGCGTTCCTGAGGAATGGAACCTGGCAGCGAAGAACGGTGTAGGTCCCTAGCAGTTTGGTTAGCTGGCCATTGAATCCTAATAGCAGCCCAGAAAGCAACTGCAAAATCACAGCGGAAGATGATGTGGTCCTTCTTGTTGCATACTTCACAACTACAGCATTGCTGTTTATACAAGGCGTTTACAAATGCCTCCAAAAGTGGTCAAATCGTCTTCAAAGACCTTTTAAGGCATTTTTTAGAATGCCGCCTATAACATGGAAGTAAAAGGTCTTTTGAGGCGTTTTTCCAGAATGCCTTTCAATATCAACATTTAAAGGCATTTTCTAGATGCCTAGAATACTTTTTAGAGGCACTCTGTACTAGGCCCTCAAATATCGATGGAGGCGTTATTAGAAATGCCTCCAAAACCAAGATAT